TTCTTCTTCTTCTTCTTTCTTTTCATTTCGAGAATGAAAGATTTCGTCTGCTCGACAAAATGGACCTGCACCACTTTCGAAATAAGCAGAATCTTGCATCGTGCAAAGAGAAATAGTTTTAGAAAGTATTCCCATCTCTCGCCACGCTCGTGTGATTTCGATTGAAAAGAACAAAACGGAAGCGAAAAATTGCAAAAAATTTGAAATTTAGATTCCTTAGATTGGAAAGTATATGTGACATTCCTGCATCTAATATATTACCATTGTGATAGTTAATGTTCATCTGACATGTTTCAAAGAAAAATCACAAGGCAAGGGATTAAACTTCATTTTAGAATTCACATACTATAAAATATAATAATAGTAATATAATAATATAACATAATATAAAATATATAATAATAATAATATAATATAATATATAATATAATATAATGATATAATATATAAAATAATAATATAATAAATATAATAATATAACATACTATAAAATATAATACAGAAATATATGTAGGATGTAGCTGGACAATGATCCACGTTATTAGAAAAATTAGAAAATATTGTTCTATAATTACTGGAATCCTATCAAATGATCGCGTTAAAATTAGAAATTTTAAATCATTGAAAGTATTTTATGTTCTATGTTATGTTGAAATACACGCTAGAGTTGCAAGAAGAAGAAGAAAAATTTTTATATTAATTATCATATATTAGTTATATTTGTACTTTTAGTGAACTCATTTCTGGTCATTTTGTTTTTCATGAAGATAAAAGTACCTAGATGTACCAGTGCCATTTTTCCTTCTGAAACCCAACATTTCGCTATCGATACGCGAAAACCACTAGAAAAAAGAAGCTCGCAGCAAATGTCAAACGAGGATGTCAATACTTTCTCAATACCTACACTTCGAACTACCTGTTACAAAACAATACCACTCTCTGACTGAGAGGGAAATTTTCGAACTGATACTTCAAACCTTTTGGGAGGAAAGTATAGAAAAAAGAAATTAACGTCCTACATTGCTTGAAGAAAAAATATCTCAATTCTATTTCACAGGATATCATTGAAAAAAAATCTCTCGCCCGCTTTGCAAATTAATTTGAAAATACGTACACGAGAGTTCATCGACACGTTACGAAGATTAATCTTCACGCTTTATGGCAGGTTCATGAAATTTCATTTCAGAATAAATATGCTTTACTGAAGTTATTCTTGAAATCACATGCAAGAGTGGGAAATATTGATTGACAAAGCGCTGCTCGGCAATTCATCACTGGCACTTGAAATGTAATTGTAAGAAGGGACAAGTGATGGAGCAGCGAGTGAAATAATTGACGTTACCTTTCGCCATGGGCGAGACGGCTAAAAAATTGGCCAACGCGGCACCTGTACCGTGCCCGAACAGCGTCAACCTGTCGGGGTCGCCGCCGAAAGCACCGAGATTCTCGTGCAACCAGTGAAGCCCTGCCACCAGATCCATCAGCCCGTAGTTTCCTTGAGCGCTCCCCTTCGGACCTGTTTTCAAAAAACCTGCAAACAATCCCGGCAAATCAGTCTCCCTTCAAAACCAATCCGTTTGTTTTCTTTTTTTTTTTTTTTAAAAAAAGAACTCTGTCTGGCATATTAATGTTTAATGTGCAAAAGCAGTTGATCACTACGAGAAGTAGACATATTTTATTATACTTGTTTCACTAGTTCTACGTAAAATCCAAAGGATAAGTAGTAACGGAGATATATGGTCAGACATGAGATATTAATTCATATCACGAATGTATTATAATTATAAATTATTATTCTCCCCCAAAAAAAATAAAACAAATTTATTAAAAATTAAGAAATAAATACAATTAAAATTAAACAAATTTCATTCTCTCATTTCTGATTTATTCTAACTTACTGTACTCATTATCAATCGTTAATTAAGTAAACGAACGATTTTTCTTGAAAAACTTGAATTTTGCCTCAAGCTAGAAAATTCTGTTCCACATTTTACTTTCTTTTCTTTTTTTCTTTTTTTCTATCCTATGAGAAATCATCTCGTAACCTCGCATGATTTGTACAAATTCGTGAATAAAATTTAGAAAAGGGGGGACCAGATACAGAATTTTCTATCTCCAAATTTCTTGTAAATAAAAATCTACAATTCAATAACGAGACATTTTTCAACGTTCTTTAAT